AGCAGCGTGAGGAGCTCTGGCCCTCCTTACTTTATCATAAGAGAGAATGTTACTATATTTTGATCCAATTGTGTTTATTCCTGTAAGTATCTCCCATTTTGAAAGTGTCTTTGTCTAAACACCAGTCAGAATTGCCTTTATGGCACAGAGGAGTAGGCTTGATCTAGAACTTCTGGGTTTAAATCACATATTCTTAACCTTCTACGAAAAATGAGAAATAGAGTCCTGCAGAGTAACACCCAGGCTTACCATAGAGCCATCGGCTCGCGGTTTCCGAGCCCGCAGATGAGTGTTCTCTACCAGGAATTCGCAGGTGGGCACTCGGGATGGCCATGAGGGTCAGCTCAACCAGGGAAAACCGTAGCAAGTTGTCCCACACTGGGGCATATTTATGTGATGTGATAGAGATGCTAATTATCTCCACAACGGCAACTGTGTTCTAGTATAGCAATGAGCAAGTTAGCCTGTTGTACATCCTAGATTTGCACCATTTTTGGCAAAAGGAACTTCAGTAAACAATATAAGAGCTGTAGCAGAGTCCCAAGCTCAGCTGTGAAACCGGACACAATCTCTGTCATGAATTTGTTCTTCGCGTATTTGGATCTCACTTGGTCGTGGAGATTCGGCAACAGAACAGGACTTGTCTGGGCCCTTAGACTATCCAGAAGCAGCACCGGAGAAGCAAGGGCCAGTGCTTCCAGACCCTCAGCTCAGGGCCCCCAGAGTGACTGGCCTGCAAGTCCCAGCAGCATAAAGACCCTGGAGGAGACGAGGGTGAGCCCCAGGAGCAGTGTCCACAAGATTGGCTTTTAAGTGGGCACCATCTTTCTCCTCTATCCCATGGCATCCCGGCATGCCTAGAAAGTGTCTTTCTGGCGGCAGGAACAGAAAAGCTAAGGCGCACAGAAACAGCTCATTATTTCAGCACTGCAAATGCTGGATTTTAGCTCAACGACTACAAGGCTGTAGAGAAAGAGACCGTCTGTCTGTGAACTTCTATTTGGAAGCTTCGATATCAGCAGTACTGTCTGTAAGTTGATAGTGTTAATTATCGAAGTCTTTAAAATGTGAAGGTCTTCATTTGAAGGGAGATGAATCAAAAGAGAAAAGAATGGTGCAGTCCGCACACCGACCTCTTCCACTTGTGGGCCGCGAGCGTTGGGCTTGGCTTTGTTTCATTTTAAAGGCTACTCTGCATTTCTGGTAAACCACAAGGTAAAGGGTGGCCTCTGAGAAGCAGATGTTTTGCCAGTTTTGAGGCCTTGTGGCTTTCCATGGAGAAGTAACAGTACAGGCCACATGAAGCTTTTACTTCCTCTCCCCCCCCAGCCCCCTTGTGAGGCCAGCAGGGCTCTGCACTTGCAGCGTCATCACTGGTGCTCGTGGGCTGCTATGGCCTGTGCTTACCAGCAGACATCAGACACCTTTCTGCATGTCACAGCCATGTCCATGAGGCAGTCAGGCCAGTGTGCCCAGCGGGCTTAGAAGTAGTAGTGAGAACCTCGGAGGCTGTTTAGAGCCAACGCAGCATGGAGATCAGACTGCAGTGGTTTGGAGGCCGTGAGGTGTGCTGGAGCCCAGCACAGCCCTTAACGTTAGCTTTTCAGGCTTCCCGCCCTGACCACCCGTCCAGGCCCGTGTCACCTCGTGACCTGTTTCACATACAGATCAAAAACGAGGGTGCACTGCCTGCCGAGTGCTGTAGGGAGGCGTGGTGCTATAAAGTTGGGTTCCTCTCGTCAACAGTGTGGACTCCGGGGAACTGAGGCCTTACACAAATAAATAAAGGCCAGACCGATGGGCGGGGATGGTCAGGGAAGTTTCATTTCGGGGTGGGAGGGACTTGAGCTTGGGTTTAAGGTAACCTGAAGGATGTGAGGTAAGCTGCGGAGAGGAGAAGAAAAGATATCCCAGAGTCCAGACAGGGGCGCAGTGTGGGCCAGTTGGCATTTATGGGCAACAGGCTGGAAAGGTAGGCAGGGGCGGGATTCTTGGAGGGCCTTGAATTCAGAGCTGTTACTAGGTGTGGGCTCAGGGGCAGGGGACTCGGTGGAACCTGTGGTTCCGAGGGATTCCTTGGCAGAAGCTGGTAAATGACTGGTGTGGAGATGGATTAATAGGGTGCCTAGTGGGAGGGTGGGGCAGGGCTTTGCCCAGGACTGGCGCTAGAATGGGCGGAAAAGGATGGCTTTGGAAGATCCAAAGAGGGAATACTGAGGGCTTGGTGGTTAGGTGGTGGCCAGTAGAAGGGGCAGAGTCACAGAAGATTCCATGACTGAAAGCAGTCACTTCCGAGGACTCTTTGCTCTGTTTGCCCAGTGTGGCAGTGCAGGGTGTGGAATTTGGAGTTTGGGTTTGAATTTGACCTGTGCAGGGAGTTGGGTGACTTGGCCTGTTTACTTAACCGCCTGTACCTCAGCCTCCTTGTCTGAGAAACGTAGACAGTAATAGTACTTCCTTCGAGGCTATGGAGGTTTCTTGGTTACATCTGCCAGGCTGCTGGCATGGAGAGGCAGTTACAACCATTCACTGACTGGATGGTGTTCAGAGGATTGCATCATAGGTCGCTGAACAAGGACCTGAACTTCTGTCTCCCAGCTCCGCCACCGTCTCTGATGTCCCCCGCTCAGCCTTCCTCTCATGCTGCCTGGTTGTATCGCCCCTCCTAGTGAGCCTGTGTGTCCGTTGGCATCAGGCCCAAGTTCAGGTTGCACGGTCCTGGCCTTCCACCATCTGACTCACGCCAGATCACCCACCTCTCCTGTAACCTACTTCCCATTCTCCCTGTGCCTTTGGTGGAAGCCTTTCCAACCCTCCGCCCCCACAGATGCCTGCCCAGCCGCCCTTCCTGGTCTGGCGGGTCTCCCTGACTGGTGGGGGCTTCTGCACTGCTCAGATGTCTGGCTCCTGCGCTACGCTTCACCCTGTTGCTACGCTTTACCCTGATGGCGCTTAGCTAAGCCATGGCCTGGTGTGTTTTGTAATGACTTCACACACATTAACTTACCTACTAAAAATGAATCAATAAAAAGGTCCATGATGATGTGGTTTTTTATTTTTTTAATTACTCCAGTGCTAAGTCTCCATAAATCCCTAAGTTCTTCGGGAGTGGTTAAGGAGCATGCATGCTGATGGCAGGCTTGAGTGGCCCCGAAGTGCGGCACCTCCTCCCGCCACACCTGCGCTCGCTCAACAGCCTCGTCAACTGGTCTCTCCATTGCTGCCTGTCTGCCCCTGACCCATGTTCTAAGTCCCTATGCCATGGGGCCAGTCCTTTTCTAGTCTTTTCATGGGCCACTCAAGCATAAACTTCTTTGCTGGCCTACAGTTAGGACCTGAGCTCTGCAGCCTGGCTTCCGAGGCTCTCTGCAACTTGATCTCTCCTGCCTTTTCAGTCTTATCTGCTGGCAATCCATTCTGCACACTCTGTCTTCTTTGCAGTTCCCAGAATGCCCTCCATGCCCTTCCTGGCTGACTCCTGGCCTTGAAGCCTTGCTGGAGCCCACCTGGCAGGCTCCTGCTCTTCCTCCTTAACTTCCTCCAAGACTTGGGCAGAGTAAGTGGCTTCCCTCTCCTAGCCCCACCCACCGCCCTTTGTTTCTTTGCAGCTTTTCTTACAGGCCCGCACAGTGCCCCTTTCCTGGCCGTGGCGGGTCAGGCCTGAGCTTCTTGAGGGCAGGGCAGCCTTGCTCCTGTCTGCGCGACCCGCGGAGGTGCCAGGCAGCAGCCCAGGGTGCGGGTCGCTCCTCGGAGCGGCGCGCTGGCTGAGTGGCAAAGGTCACTCTTCCTGACTAGGAGAGCTTGCTGCTTTCTTGCGCCTTGACAGAGTTTTCCCTTGAACTATGAATTATTTTGAAAACTGACAGTGATGAGTCATATCTCAGAAAGGGGCGAGATCTGAAAATGCAGAGCCTCCAGGAATGGAGGCGGCGGCTGCGGCTCGCCCTGCGGGCCGAGTCCGGCTCTCGCCGAATTCGCGGGGCTGGCGGGGCGCGGGCAGGGGCGGGCCTCCCTCCGGGGCAGCTGATTTATTGGCTGGGCAGCTGCCGCGGCGCTTTCGCTGGGAAGCGGCGCCCCGCGAGGTGCAGCTCCTGCCCGGGCCGGGCGGGCGCGGCCGCCACCACCCCGGCCGGAAGGGACGGCGGCCGCCGGGCCCGGCCCCCGCGTGGCGGCCGAGACGGTGGGGCGCGGGGGCGCGGGGCGGGGGGCGGGGGGCCGGGCCGGGCGCCGGGGGAGGCGCGCGGGGCCGGGAGGTGCCGGGCGGGGGGTCGCGGCCCGGCGGGCGCGCGGCGATCCAGGCCGCCTTTTGCAGCCGCCCGCGGCCGCGCCGGGCCCGCCGCCTCCCGCCCCCCGCGGCGGCCCCAGCCCCGCGCCCCGCGCCCCGCGCCGCGGTCACACGCCGAGCGCCCGCCCCGCCCCGCGCTTTGTGGCGCCGCCGCCGAGGGCAGCGCGGCCTCCGCGGCGGTGCTCGCGGCCTGCGGCTGCCGCCCGCGCCGGGCCGGGCCGGGCCGGGCCGGGCCCCGAGGTGGGACCCGCCGGGCCGAGGGCGGGGGGCGGCGGGGGGGGGCTCCGCCGGGCGGGCGGGCCGGGCCGGCCGGGCGGGGCGCGGGCGGCTTCTCCCGCGGGGGCGGCGCGGAGCCCGCGGAGGGGCGGGGGCTGCGCTCGCGACCGCCCTGCGGAGAGGGGCGCCGGGAGAGGGGGCGCGGGGAGAGGGGGCGCCGGGGAGAGGGGGCGCCGGGCGCGGGCGGCGGGGGCGGGCGGCGGCCTGCGGGTCCGGCGGGCTCGGACGGGCCGGACGGCGGGTCCTTCCCCGGCGCCCCCCGCCCGCGGGAGGCCTGAGGGGCGCGGGGCGGCGCCGGTCCGGTCCCGGTCCCGGTCCCGGCCCGGCAGGACCCGTCAGGCGCGCGCGGGCGGCCCCGCTGGGGCAGAGCAGAGCAGGGCGCCCGGCGGCGACATCCTGTTTGCTGTTTGTTTCAACACCCGCCCGTCTCTTCCCACAGAAGCGCTTCGTGAAGGGGCTGCGGCAGTACGGGAAGAACTTCTTCAGGATCAGGAAGGAGCTGCTGCCCGGCAAGGAGACGGTGAGCGCCCGGCTGCGCGCAACTCCCCGAAAGGCTCCCGGCCCCCTGCCCTGCCTGCCCTGCCCTGCCTCTCCTCCCCTGCCCTCCCCTGTCCCCTGTCCTGTCCTCCCCTCCCTCCTCCCCTGTCCTGCCCTCCCCTCCCCTCCCTGTCCTGCCCTCCCTCCCCTCCTCTTCCCTCCCCTCCCCTCCCCTGTCCTGCCCTCCCCTCCCCTCCCTGTCCTGCCCTCCCCTCCCCTCCTCTTCCCTCTCCCCTGTCCTGTCCTGCCCTCCCCTCCCCACCCCTTCCCGCCCGCTCGTGGTTTCTGTCGCGGGCAGATGATGCTTCTTCGCCCAGGGAAGAAAATGGGCTTTCGTCATAAGGACAGAATAGCCCGGGTTTGGGTTTTGGGGTGCGGGAGAGCCCTTTGGAGTGTTGTCATCTAGTGACAGTGACTGACGCGGACGTCATTGTCGCTGGTGTAAGTTACCGGCGAGCTGCCCTGGAGCCGGGGCGCGGGGACCGCAGCTCGCTGTGTTGGGCTCGCCCGGTCGTCGCCTTCCCCTACTGTCGGGATCTGAAAGGCTGGAAGTTTGCAGGTTTCACTGGGCAGTCACACCAGGATTTTCATACATTGCGCAAAGGAAGCTTTTGGCAGCTGCTTCGATGCTTCACAAGACAGAGAGTCAGACGAGATGGCTAGGCTGGCAGCCCGCTGTGAGAGTTCGCTGAGAAAACTTCAGAGTGAAGTTAGGTGAAGAGAATCACCAGCAACTGACTCCGTTTCATTGACCTATAATTTCCTACAGGTGGGGGGGGGGATCTTGCTTCTTAACTGGGGCGGGCGGGACCAAGGCCAGCCCAGTAACAGGAAGTGCTTTTGAGGCCTTGGTCTCCCTGGACTTTGAACGGCCCTTATTTTCCCTGGGGAAGAGGCCTTGATGAAGAATATCCATTATAAAAGCGGCGAATTGTTTTGGTTTCACTTGGTTTTTGTTTTTCTGATTGTGTTCATTGATTTCCTCTAATTTTAGTTCTTTTGTTTTTTGTAATGAGCTGTTTCTGAATACTTTCTCTCTGTAGTGGGGAAGAAGCATGCTGAGGTTTCATAAATTGATGGCTGGTATCAGGCATAAGTGAACTTTTAATATTTATCATACATCTAAATAGGGTAAGATGAGTCATTTTGGGAAGCGTTCAAAAAAGAGAACTGTTGATAGAGATTAAACTAAAATCTCGCGTAGTCTATAATAATCTTTATTGCTCTTTCAAGAACAGATGGGAACGAGGTATCGAATGTGGCACAGTAAAAAGAAATGCTTCAAGTTTTCTGAGGATTTCGGTTGTTTGTAGTCTGATGTGTACTTTGAAGGCTAACGTGGAATTTTGGTTTGGCCAAACTGGGGTGAAAGTAAAAGAGCCGTGAGCAGATGTGACTGTGATGGGCAGGTCAGCATCTCGCGGCTCAGGTTGTATTGTTCTCTAACAGATGCAAACCATGAGCAATTTGATACAAGAAATTGCTCAACACTTGTTTTGTCTTTGTTTTAAAAAGTAAACGTTTAATAACACGATTAAGGCTTGAATTTAAAATCCACTGTCATGCATTTGGAAATGCCAATTTATCCAGCTTTTTATCTCCCTAGCAGAAACTGCCGTGAATCACTTTTGACCTGGGTGAGGGTCTGCTCACCTTCCTGCCAGCTCCTGCTTGTCACCTGTCCTACTCATGATGTCTTCCATAGAGGGGGTCTCAGTAAACCTACCCTTTGGTCTGATTCTTTGGGCTTTTCCCAGCACCTCTTTCTTGAGCCCCCCACACCTCTGCTGCTCTGGCACGCAGCAGCCGTCTTGTCTCCAACATACTTCTGGTCATTGCAGTGAGTAGGAAAGTTGTTTGCAGCACCGGAGGATTATCCTGGTGGACATTGGCCAAACCTTTCCGGTGCCCTGCTGTCTTTGGCACGGGAATGGGGGAGTCGGGCGCTAGGGTAAATTTCTAAGTATTTTCATCACCTGGGAGAAGCATTCATCTTATATTTTCCTTGGTTATCAACATAGCCAAGCTAATCATTTACACCACACGGGGAAGGGAGACCAAAGGTTACTTTTCATCTTTGCTGCAGAAGATGAGCAAATTGGGAGGTGCGTATGTTTTTGGGTCAAATCATCCTTGGCAGAAATCATCATGGGGTCATGCCCCTCTTTTTTATAGCAAATCTCTCTAATCTAGGTATTTTCCACATTCTCTTCTGTTTACCAGACCTATTAACTCATTTCTTTGCTGGTCTCCACTGACTTTGAAACTTCAGAAGGGCGTCAGCATCCAAAAGAACACGCCTGGTTGCGTGGGCGTGAGGGCAGCGGTCTGTGTTCTATTCCTGGCCTCACCAGTAGCTCTCTGCTGGGTGAGCTCTTCACCCTGCCATCTACTCCAGTTTCCCTTTGGGAAGTTCAGGTCTAATCCTGACAAAGACTCGAAATCTTCGTCTCTAAAACGTGTTTACTTTGCACTAGCATCTTCTGCATGCTCCAGTCTTTATAAAATGTTTGCACATTGGGCTTTCACTGCCTGAGGGCAAAGTGGTGGTTCTTGCCTCATGCCAGTTCACAGGTTTTGGGCCTCAGGCCATTTATAAATGGGGCAGTCCTTCCTATCCCTTAAATTCTTTCGGAATTAACATGAAATGATATGACAAAATGCAGCATGATTTTTCATTTGTAAATGTATTGAACCTGTTTAAAAAGAATTACCTGTTGTCCTTAATCCATATTTCCAAAAACCCCTTTAATTCAAAAACTAGGGGCGACTGAAGACCTTGATTAAAAGATGTGTTTCCTACCTCAGTGCTTTGGTGAAGTGGCTCATTCCTACCAGTTGGTTCAGTGTGCCCATGCAGGCCACAGTTCCTGGTGACGTGGGTACTGACAGGCTTCCTAGCTCTTGGTTTATGGGATTTATTACACAGGAGCTTGGCTTTACTCTGAACACTGCTGCCTGCTGAAGTGGGGGTGGTGGCTGTGACCGTGAAAAACCAGCTGTTTATAGAGGTTTAATTGAGTGGGTACTGTGTGTTAACCTCATGCTACTCTGAGAATTAACTGCAGTTCAGGTGTTTTACGTAACATGATCGTGCAACCACCTGTATTTGTGCAGTCCTGTAGCTCATTATCTCTCTCCCCATTCGCCTTTCTCAGTAACTATTTGCCTCCTTCAAGTTGCTTATAAGATATATAATCAGCAGTAAAATATGGTGAAGAGTCTTTGATGAGCATCTCCTTGTGCTGTTCGTCTCCCTCACGGCGCTGTTGGGCCTAAACCACAGCGGAGTCTGTGGTGGGGCATGTTTGTGTAAATTAGAGTCAGTGCCCCGTAGCTGAGCTGCTGAGAAGATGGGGAACTGGGCCTCTTGGGTTCTGCTTTGTGCACTGCCACACAGCCGCGGGTCGATGGACTAGATGTTAAGATAATGCCCCCCAGGGTAGATGATTGAAAAGTTGAACTTAATTACCAAGAAGGGAACCCATGTTGTGAATAATATAAAGTCATGGCATGGCTGTTTCAAAAGTGATTTTTCACTTTATTTTTATACACATTGTGGTTTTCGTCAACATCCTGAGACAATTCCTTCGGTGGCAGTGGCATGTCTTTCATGCTGAGAACATGTCTGTGTTGTCTGAACCGAAGACTTGCCTTGTCTGGCATGGGGTATTTGTCCCTTGGGTCCGGGCAGGCCTTTGTGTCACTCTGCCCACTGTTGTTACCCAGCCACATTCTGCTGGCGTCGACCACATGCAGTGCTCCCACAGCGACCTGTCCAGTGCAGCTGACATTGGGGGACAGGCAGTTTGATCTGCCCTGACTGGGTAGAGAGCAGAGGTCCTCCAGAGCGGTTGGCCTCAGCAGGGAGGGGGAAAGGCGCACACGCTTCACGGTCTGTCTCATCTCTTCAGCGGTGATTTTGGCACCTGACCCAGTAGAGGTTGAGCTCGCGTTGCTTGTAAACCCAGTTGTCGACATGTTAACATTTACTATACTAGAAACTCACTTTCACCCACTGTCATTTTCAGAACTGAACATTCTGTGTGGTTTGAGTTTTCAAATTTTGTGTGTTCATTGAGCACTGTAAAGGCGTGGGAGGTGTGCAAAGTACAATGAGGTGCTCTCTAAGCCCGGCAGGGAGGGCTCTTCCACGGGGGAAGGTGTCCCTTTTGCATGCCTGCGTGTTTGGCAGTGTGTGCTGCCAAAATAGGACCCTGGTGGTGTTCAAGCCTGACAGGAGCTTCTGGAAGGCTGATGGAGCCTGTGGTGTTTGAACTGAGCTTTGAAGGAAAGAGACAGATTTTGATAGCCCATGCTTGGGAGAATGGAGCAAGTGACTTTTCAGCTGTAGGAAACACATGGACACAGGAAATTGCAGAACGTGCCCAGCAAGTATGTGAGTGTGGTTGGAGAGAAGGTTCCATGAGCTGAGGCCCTCAGACTTGGGCCAGAATTATGGCTTGGTGAGAGATGGACCTTGGGAGACTGGCATTTGCTCCAGGAGTGCTTGTGGGAGGCCATTGTAAGCTTTTAAGAAGAGAAGTGAGCCTTTGAGCTGAGCTACGTGAGCAAGATGGAAACCAGAGAGAAGGTTCTTGTAATAATTCAGTCTTGACATAAGACAGAAAATAGGGCGTTGAGAGTGATTTATGGAAATGGAGATCAGCCTTTTATCTTGATTTTACGCTGTTGAAAATAGGTTCCTTTTTTGAATGGGTTCAGGAGCTCAGGGAAAGGTTTAGATGTTTTGGGTTTTCTTTAGCTTTGGGGTGATGGGGTGAGATTTAAAATTTTAATTTGAAACAAAATACAAAAATCAGTCACCTTAGTTACATTTCTGGGAATGAATTCTATTAAATATGTACTTAACAACTGAATAGTAATTATTTGTTCCTCCAGGCAAAGTATCTCTTGCATGGAGTGTATTTCCCCAGCAAATAACTACTATTGTTGAGAAAAAGCTTTAAGACTGAGTAATCA